CAGCAAGTAGATATTTATTGATGAGGACAGTCTGCCCCCTTGTCTGGGTGTGAGACCCACCAGGTGAGTCAGCACATCCTGGTTGTTGCGATGAGGGGGCCCCTCAGGTCCCCAGCACAGGATCTTTTGGAGAGTCCAGAGGAGGAACACCAAGATGATCAGAGGGATGGAACAACTCTCCTGCGAGGAAAGGCTGAGAAAATTAGGGTTGTTCAGCCTAGAGAAGAAAAGGCTCCAGGGGAACTTTCAGTTCTCAAAGGGCATCTATAAGAAAGAGGGGGACAAACTTCTTTGCAGGGCATGTTGTGACAGGACAAGGGATAGTGGACTTAGATTAAAGAAGGGTCAACTGACATTAGATATAAGGAGGACATTTTTTACAATGAGGGTGGTGAAACAGGTTGCCCAGAAAGGTGGTGGATGCCCCATCCCTGGAAACATTCAAGGTCAGGCTGACCAGGGCTCTGAGCAACCCGATCTGTTGAAGATTTCTCTGCTCATTGCAGGGGGGTTGGGCTGAATGGCCTTTAAAGGTCACTTCCAACCCAAATGATTCTGCGATTCTAGGAAAAAGGCATCAAGAATTTGGCAGTGCAGGCTTTATGCAATAAATGTTGGATCCATGTCTTTTTTGTGTTTTCTACTTGATTTTTTATGAGGAAAGATGCTTTCAGTTGTGACTTTTGGGAAGCTCAGGCCATGTACATAAAGGAAAGAGCTCTCCTGTCCATCCAAACACCAAGCAATGTCTTCATTTTGAGTACCCAAACTAAAGCAGGTTGGCTTTCAGATGGGACACATTCAGCACTTTCTGAGAGCCAAGCCCAAGTGTCTGAGTTTAATGCATCTCATAAATAGGGGTATTTGGAATTGCAAGCTGTCTGGGAAAGCCTTGGTCTTCATGCAGTCCAATGACACCAAATTGGGGCACAATCTGGCTGTGTCTCTGTGGTTTGCTCTCACTGATGGCAGCACTTGTCATCACAAATAGCACTTTAAAGAAGCATCCTGCCCAGTAATAACTGCCTGCTGAGTCACCTGCTTGCTGCATAGTCCATCTTAATTTTTACAGTGGAGTTGTACAGCTTTACAGTGGAGACCAGACCTGCCAGACACTTACAAAAACTAAGCTGAACAAGAACAAAAGATGGAAAACATAAAGCAATCAGAGAGAGGTAAGGATGGGTCAAGCTGAAGGTGGTGCTTCCTGTGTTTGTGTCACACAGATAGTAATAAAGTACAACAATCCAGGACCTATTAGCATGCACTCCTGTGGCCAATTCTGGTTTCTCAAGGTGGATTTTATTGTGCCACGAGCACAATTAATTTTCACGACATTATTTTCATGGGAGGTTATCACACATTAAATTACAGCATTGCCATGCCCCCAGGCTTTTTGTAACAGTAGGAGGAATGGTGGGCTGGAGAAGACAGCTGCTTTTGCACGTGGTATATGTCAGTTTACTTAAGCAGAACCATTTTACTGATGCTGGAGGAATGCAGCAAAAGGTCAGTGCTGAAACTCCATTAAAGTAAGCTGAGCACGCATTCCACAGTGAGCCAACATATGCTCACTACTTGCTTGATCAGAAAGGAAATTTCAGAGCTCTGCTACATGCTTGCCTTGACCCTGCTCCATACCGCCTGTCCAGTGTGCATCAGGCAAACTGTTCTTTAATCCTGCAAGGAATACGCATTCTGGTTAGAGGATGCTTGGAATACTTGCATATCATCATTAGCAGCGTAATCTTAAACTGGGCCCGTGCGCATGGAGCAGTGCAGGGCAGTGTGGAGAGGGATGTCAAGAGAAGTGTTACATGAATGCATAAAATGTATGGTTTTATTTCTTAGTCCTTTGTGCCCATCACAACCTGACCCTGTCCAAATGAGACTCATCTTTGCAGGGGAAAAATAAACTCAACATTATTATTCAGCTCTTGCATTTTCTTCGCCTGTCTCCTTCAAATATTTAATCTTCTGGAGTCTGTCAGATCTGGGCAGTGTCAGAGGAAGAATTCTGTACTAACAACATGACCAAGAAGCTGTACCAACTTAATTGGACTGTTAAAAAATTGCAGAAGTGAAGCTCTTGTAGCTACAAGAGCTTTAGGCTGATTTAGAACATGCCCTCATAACATCACTTGATAAAAATAAGACTTGAGCTTTTTAATAGAACGAATTACTTGGGTTTTATATTTAACCACAGTCACTGTTAAAGCTATAACTGGTTTTCAGAATATTTTAAGAATCTGATCTTGATCTTCCATATGTTTAAAACCATCACAACAAATACCTTACACTGTGGTTCCCAATGAAGAAATGACATGGTGGCTGCAGCCCTTTCTGAAAATGGGACTTGCAGGCTTTAAAAATATTATGCAATGATTGGTGTAATCAATTAAAACTAGTTAATTAAAAACCTCTGGGCTGTGCTTTGGGGGGAAGCTACAGTTGGTTTCAGTGTATTGTATGGTCATGGATTAGGAGCAAACCAGCCATTTATTTAAGAGTTGGACTCGATGATCCTTGTGGGTCACTTCCAACTCAGACTATTCTGTGATCTAGAATCATACAGAGATAGAAAAGTGGGTGTTAAAAAGATGAAGTTAAAGAATAAGGTCTTTTCTGGCACAAACCCAACCTGCTTTTTTAGTATCCCTTTGTACTCTGGGTACTATGTGTGATGACCACATGGTAGAAAATCGCAATGAATAATAATCTGGGGAGTGGAAACAACGTGCTGCATGAATTGAGTAGGCATTTGAGGAAGAATCCATCACTAGCACCAGGTTAGTTTAATTTCCCTGACTCCACAAGTTTGTAGTTGGCAACAATAAATTGTAGGAAAGGCTGATACAATGAGGGTAGGGCTGGCATCCAGCAGGACCCTGGAAAGGTGGAGGGATGGGTTGACAGGACTCTCATGCAGTCTGCCATTAACAGATGCAAAGCCTCGGCCCTGGGAATACATTATTCCTGGCAATAGTCCAGGTCTCATGGAATGAACAGAGTTCAGTTCCACTTTTCTAGTGCCATATTTTACCTTTTTCCATGTTTCTGTTCATAATTTCTTTACTAATCCTGTTATACCACTGAAATAGAGGCTGTCTCATCTCCTTCATCTCACACCAAGAGGTTCACTACTGCTTATTTTGCACCCTCTTCTCCTTAATGCTCCTCCTACCTTCTACATGTGCCTTTCTTTACTCAAGTCAGGCCAGTTCGTAGATCTGCGGCAGCACTTTGAGAGTGTGAGCAGTCCCAGTTTCCACAGGTGCCAAAAACCACAGACTCCAAGAGTGCAGCGTGCTAAAAGTTGGGTAATGATTGATCCCAACCATGTTTACATTTCCTGGACAGACTTTTTTACCTCAATCTTTCTTTGCAGAACTAGGTCTTAGCAGTTGCATTGCCTTAAACAGCTCACCTGTCTTGCAACAAGGGTCCCTTGCAAGGTCTATACAAATTTGGAACTCCTCAATAAGCTATTGCATAGCTTTGAGCCCTCTTTGCTGTATTACTTTTGCTGCTGTTGAGGAGCCAAAAATTGCCCTTTTGTCTTTCCCCTATTCAGAAGAGGAGCTGTAGGAACAAAAACCTGAATTACTAAGGTTGTGAAAACTCATCCTGTTTGCTTTAGCCTGCAAACCTGACTAGAATGCAGAATCACTTCTGAAATGGCTACTTTTCATCATTTAGCCAGTGGACTTCCTCTTTGGATGAATTTCTGGTGGCTAACTGAGCTTTAGCCACACATCTAGGTGGCTTTCTGAGACTGCAGCCTGGAGGTTTACCAGATCTCTGGTGATAGTTTTATATGCAAAGAGGGAATTAAAAATCTACTGTTACTCTTGTAGATTCAGTTTAATCTCAGGTCCCTTTTAATAAGTCCCAGGAATCAATGCATTTATACTAAATAATGATGAAATAAAACTCCCCTACCCTCCCACTCTTGTTTTCCTATTTACAGAGATTCACATAAATAGCAACATGAAAGAAAACTCCAGCTCCATCTTTAAGCTAAAATGACATTTTGGAGCCATTGAAAATTCAAGATGACAAGTGTTCAATTTATGGTCCCAGGAACTGAAGGCAAATAATTCGATCTTTTGGACAATTTTAAGGACAAAGTTCTATAAGGAAAAAATATTTGCCCTTTAGAGTAGTGCAGCACTGGAATGGACAGTCAGAGGGAGCATGGAATCCCCAGGAATCCCCAGTCTTTAAGGACACTTTTTTCAAAGCCTTGAGTGCACCAGGAGGCTGTAATTGATCTGTACATCCCCATCTCTGCCCTCCAAACTTCATCCTCTACCCATTGCTCCTTTAAGCTCAGAGCTGCATCTTCAGTCCTGGCCTAAGCTGCAGAATAGGCATTCCTTGTGTCCCTGAACTCCTTCTAGCTAGGTACCCAAGGTCTTAATCACATGGAAAGCTCATGCAGCTGATGACAGAAGCCAAGGGTTTCAAAACCCTTCATGGGTCACTTAGTTCAGTCTGGAGTTTTGATGCCCTTTAAAACTATTCTCCCAAGTTCAGATCTGGATGCAGACAGGGTCAGGTTTGTGCATTATGCTGCCACCCTCCACCCACCCTTGTGTAGCTGGGAATGTGCAAATACTCCAGCATTTACAAGGGCATGTAGTGACAGGACAAGAGGTAATGGCTTCACACTGGCAGAGAGGAGGTTTGGAATGGATACTAGGAAGAAATTCTTCCCTGGGAGGGTGGGGAGGCCCTGGCACAGGTTGCCCAGAAAAGCTGTGGTTGCCCCATCCCTGGAAGTGTTGAAGGACAGTTTAGATGGGGCTCTGAGCAACCTGGGATAGTGGAAGGTTTCCCTGCTCGTGGCAGGCGGGTTAAAATGAGATGATCTTTAAGGCACCTTCTAACCAAGGCCATTCTATGATTCCATGAAACCAAAGGAACATGGTCTTTGAACACACATCTCACCCCAGAAAACATCCAGGATACAGCAACCAGGATACTGAGACACCCACCTGATGCAAGAGTACGGGAGGAGTATGCAGATTATGGACTTAGCTTCCTTTTCAGACTTTGAGAAACGTGTCTGTGCCATTGGAACAGAGGTGCAAGAGGTTTCCAAGCAGACATCCCTGCAGATGCTGCTGGATCCAACACCAGCTAACACACCTTTACCTGCAGTCTATTTGCTGCTCCATTCCCAGGGAGGCTGCTGGATGCCAGGGAAGAAATTTATCTCCAGATTAGAAGGCATCCATGTGTCTCAGCTCCTGTGAAACACACACCTTGTCAATGAAGGTGGTGGAGTCCCAAGAGTGTTTCAGCTCCCTCTGAAAAAGGCAGCTACCGGGGGATGAGCTGTGTCAGTTCCTGGGCTCCTTGACTGTATTAATTAAATCCCCACTGGCTGCTCTGCAACCTTAGATCCTCAGTGCACATGGACCTACACACTGGTGTCTGAATACAAAGCAGATTCCCACTTCAAGTGGCCCAAGAATCCTTTTCCTTGAACCAAGCTCTCCTCTCCTCTCTCCTTGTGGGACAGCCTGCATATTTCCCCTTTCCCCTTCCTTTCACTCTCCCAGTAACTCATAACTTCCTCTGTGGAAGAGCAAAACAACAACAAGGGTAACACGCCTGTCTGACCTATGGGATTTTGAAGGTACTGTGAGAGCAGCCAAAACATGAGGTAGTGTTGCTTTCCCTTGCCTCCTGGGGACAAGTGGGCAATCCTGCCATGTGCTGGAAACATCTGTTATGCTTTGGTTCAAATCTTGTATTCCATTTAAAAACTAAATCGTACTTCCCCAAATATCAGGGATCTGAGGAGTTTCACTTCCACCCCTCAAGTAGCTGTGACCAGGACTCCAGGATGCAGTATCCACCCAGCATATTCCCACCTTCTCCTCCCCCACCAACACAGCAGGGAGAATGGGAAAAGGGCGGGAGAAGAGGGCAGGAGGAGATTTCAAAAATAGGATTCTTTCTATGGAAATTAAACTACAAATCAAAACTGCTGTCAAAAAATTAATTACAAGCTTTAGAACTTCAAGTGTTACCCACCATGCAGGGAAAAAAAAGCTTGAAGAAAACAGGGAAAAGCTCAGATGACTGCACAAAAGGTTTCAGAATTCCCCTTCAAAATATGAGGAAGGATCCAGACCAACAGATGAAGAATTGACATGCAAGAGAATGAAAGTCCTCAACAATACAAGGAAGTTACCTGGAAAATGGCAGAAATTGCCTTTAATCATCTATACTGGATTACATCATTTAATCTGAATAGTTTCCATGGTCAGGAATCACCCAGAGATCTGGTCAGTTGGGCCATTGGACAAAATCTTATCACCAACAATAAAAACAAGGGTTTTTTGCTTTCCTATTCATTATGTTACTTAAAAGTGGCATTTAGCATCCCTGTTCCTTCTGTAATGAGAAAACCATACACGTGACAAACTAAATTAAACATGCACCATGTCATTCCTCTCTTCTAATAAATAATACCAAGCAGATCCCTGTGGGGGCTGATGGCTGTCACTTCTGTTTTTTCCAGCTCAGCCTTCTACCCTTGGACTGCCTGTCCCTGCAGAGTGGGAACAGCTGAGGAGGTGATGAGAGAAGCAGTGTGGGCTGGTGGGCACAGCAGCAGTTGGGAAGCCACAGGTTCTCCGTGGAGTCACTACTCTGTCTTCTGACTGTCATTCCAACTCCTGTAAGACATGGAGAGACAGATATGACCACTTCAGGAGGCAAAGATGGGTGTATTTGACTGTATCTGTGCTTGGCGTTCCCTCTTCAGAAAATGAATTTATCATGAATAAGCAGCAAACCAAAATTTTTTTTCAAGGAAGCTAGAATCTCCCTAGTCCTAAATCTTCCACAGTTTCCTTTGGGAGTAGGTACTTTTTGCCACTTCCCTCCAAAAAAAAAAAATAGCAGTAAGTTGTTCTGTGATTTGTGCCTGCCTGTGGTGTGTGAAACCTCAGCAAGAGCCCTTGTGGTGAGACCTCTCTCTTACCCATGTCCTCACATGCATGTGCCTGAGTGGCCTAGCCAGGATCTCTGTGTGTGTGACATGAAGGATGAGGCAGGACCTCTGTTAACTCTCCACTATCTTGGGTTCCTCTTGACTGGCAATAAGAAACCATGTCTGAACAGGTCTTGTGTATGTTTTAGGAGGCAGCAGCTGTAATGAGGTGACAGTTTTGGTTCAGAAGTTTGCTTGCTTCAGCCTCCAAGAGCTTATTAGCCCCCAAGAGTCTTAGCCAAGATTGCTGCCCGTTGTCCTGTTTATTCATTCTGGGTTTTGGTATGACAACAAATCCGCCTCTCTGTTGGATAATGGGGAGACAAATAACAAATTAATTGTGCTATAGCCATTTTTGTCACCCTCCTGCTACCAGGGCTCAGGACTGCTGCTGATTAATCACCTATGCTGTGACCCGATGTGGACTCGATGATCCTTGTGGGTCCCTTCCAACTCGGCGTATTCTGTGATTCTGTGATTACTTTTTCCTGCTGCTTTCATACTGTGATTCATATTTCATTCATAATAGTCCCCGTGTTTGTGTTATAAATCTCTACATGCTGGCCAACGAACACCCAAACCACTAAAGATGGTCTGATGGGGTTCCATGGTCATTCTTGGGCTTACAGAGTTTTATGCAGGTTGTCCAGAGTCTGCAACACTTGCCCTGCCACAACAGTCAGATTTGCCACCTGGAAATCTCCTTTCTCCTCTGACCACCACCAGCCTGGGGCTTCACAGGCAAGGTGAACCATTTCAGTCTGTCCTTCTGAATGAGGGATTGCTCTTTCAAGGCCTTAAAATAGGGAGAGACTTTAAGGAGATTTGAAAATGGAACTTGGGATCCCTAAGTCATCATGCATTTTTTTGAAAGACGTGCTCTGCATCCATATCACGTTACTGCTCAGCTGCAGGACTTTTCTTAGACTATCTGAAAGTGGATCCTTGCTGCTGTGTTCCAAAGGAGATTATTTTAATATTGTACTAAAATACTGACAATGAAAACTCGTTACTTTAATTAGGCAGTAAGCACTGTCACCTTGGGTCTTAAGATTTCCAGTAAGCGGAGGTTGACTGCTGAAGTAAATTTTTACCATTTTTGAGTTTTTGGAGGGTTTCTTTTACTGCAAATGCTATGGGTCTCTCCCTTGATGCCTTCTGTGAAGGCATATGAATCCAGGACAACATGCTGTCTGAAAATTAAAAGGTTACAGAGTGTTTTCTGGAAACAACTGCTTCATGGGCCAAGAGCACAAGTTTAAGAATGAGACATCTTTTAGAAGAAACAAGGCTTACCTAGTTGAATAAGAAGCTCCAGGATTAACATTGCAATTCATCTTCATATGCTAATACACAGAAACTCAGCAAACTGCTGGCCACAGATCTGACTTCAAAATGGTTCCAGACTCATTTCAGCTCCGATGCAGAATTGCTGAGCAACACAAGACTGCAGTATTCACTTTATCTCCCAGCTGCACACCACTTTGTCTTGGGCCAGATACCAAGACTCCTGCTCTTGTAAGGGCCAGGTGTCCCAGTGAAATCACAATTTTTAGCTGTTTAGTTTGGTTTTCAGGTCCAGCAGGAGAAGCCCTGATTTTTGCAGGTGTTCTGGCCAGCCTCTCCACACAGAATGCTGTCACATCTACTTGCTCAGCAGAAACCACCAGAGCAAGGCTGTTCCCTGGTCCACCATGGCCCTCAGCAACCACTTTCCAGCTGGGCTGACTAAAAGGCAAAGCAATGCATCCCATAGACTTGTCAGAATTTATCCCCCCCTTTTTATTTTTTGTCCTGCCATTTGGTATTTCTTCTAGGATCAAGGGTGCTGGGATGAGACACAGTGTATCCCACAAAGTGTTCCTTTGACTTGGGCCATCAGAATAGCTTGTAGCTAATCTGCAGCACAAGTTAGAGAAACTCTTTTAGCCCATGGCTTGTCTTTTCAATGAGAAACCTAATGAATAAGATATAAAAATGCAAAGGTGATTAACAGGCGATTAAAGCTGATGATGGAAATCCATCCATTACACTTGAAATGTTCTCTAAGGGGGGGAAAAGTGGAAAGGAAATATTACAATGCATATTATAGCAGACAGTGATGGCTCTGAGATTAGGCAATGTTTCCAGGAGTCACATGCACTGGGAATGGGCAGGTCTTCAGACTGCAGAGAAACTAGGAAATGAGTGCTCCACGCTTGTGACGGTGACCCTGGGCTTTGGTTCCCACTGACACTGCCCTCTCACAAGGGCTAAGAGGCCAGAAAATTCTAGTGATATTCCTTCCTAAAAATTATATATGCATTTTGCATAGATGAAAAATCTTGAGGTGAAGTAGGATGAGACAAAGATTTGAAGATTTTCCTTGTGAGGTAAAAAAGGCAGAAGGTATGATTCCTTTGGTCACAGCCCCAAGCCTGGCAGAGTTCAAGGAGCATTTGGACAATGCTCTCAGGCATGTGGTGGGACTGTTGGGGCTGTTCTGTGCAGGGCCAGGAGTTGGACTTGGATAATCCTTGTGTGTCCCTTCCAACTCAGCATATTCTGTGATTCTGTGATATTCAAGTGCTGCTTCAGCAAAAGCGCTGAGGTTTTGAATGACACCTGGCACAGGGTCCAGTCCGGTGGCTCCCAATGATTTTACAGCTGAGCCTCTCTCAAGAGAGCCATCACAATTACATACCTCACTGGATCTGACTGTTCACCTGCCTCAGGGCTGCCATGGGCTCCCCTTCACTCAGGGGTCTTGTGCTGAAGGGTTTGCAGTGGCTCAGGCCTCATATTACACTGCTCCTAATGTGAAACTCTGTCACGCTGGGTGTGCTCAGTTCAATTACGCTTCCAGGTACTCTCCTCCTTAACATGCAGGCATCTCAAATGACACAGAAGATGCAGTTTCTTTGCTGTGAAAAGCTGACAGTCATATTGGCAAAAATATCTGTGTAAATCTCAGCTGTTTTCCTCCAACCAATACCTTAATAATTCCCGTGAAACTAATTTAAAAGATTAATTTGTCCAACCCCAAAGAAGCTGAAACAGCATCAGTGCAAAATGAGGGGAAACAAGTAAGGCAGATGGAAGGAGAGGCAAATTAAGATGGTCATATGTTATTAAAAAAATAAAGTGAGTATTTGCGCTTGGGGAAAGGAGACAGTGAAACAATAGGGAGCTGTGGCCGTTTCCCCTTTTCCCTCTTCTTTAACACATTACCTAAGCCCTTGTCTTGCACATACAAATAGAATTGCACCCCTGCAGGAGGCAATTACACCCTCCCCAAATAAATGTGATCATCTGGAAGTCACCTCAGTGAACAACATGAACACTTAATGTACCCGGCTACGTGTCACTGCAGGATCAATGCTCCAGCCTGCACGCCCTGCTCAGCAGAATTGCCACTGCAATAAAAGCAGCAGGAGCAAGCCCAGGGGCTTCCTCTCCCTTTAGCATGGCTTACCTGTCTGTTAACCAGCCAGGAGTTCTCCTTTGAGAGGTACAGACCAAGCTTTAGCATGCGGATCGCTTAGGAAGAGATGCCTTGGATTTGCTGGGTGTGTACAAAAAGAGCAATGGCCACTTGGAGCCAATTATCCCCAAATACTGAGATGCCTGGTGATAGTGCCACCAAGGAAGTGGCTGCAAACTTTTCATTGCTCACTGATGAGGTCCTCAACTGTTTTTACACCTTCTCCTCTAAATAAGGAAGCTGTGAGGCTTCTGACTAGCCAGCCAATTTGACTCCTCTGCTTTCCACAGCCAATGAAATCCCACTCCTGCCTCCAGTCTTGGGTGACAGCATTCATCAAAGCTCAGCCAGCCAGGGAGGACGGCAGGTTAGTGTTACAGCCGTGGCAGGCTTACCTTTGGCAAGCTGTTGATGTCAGAATGATGATGTGGGGAGGGACAGCCTCTGCACTATAAAGATGGCTCAATCAAATATAACCGAGGCTGCCCACTGGGGAGCAGGATCTACAAAACATGTTCCCCACCAGTTGGAGTCCTGCTGGCCTGTCTCTGCTCCCAACCCAACTGCTCTCGGGCTTTAGTTTCAGGTCAGCAATCTCTATTTGCTTTCCAAAAATAAGCCTCTGCCACCATGCTGAAGGGAGAAAAACAAGAAGGGCGGTATTTTTAGGGCCATTAATTCTGACCACGTGCCCAGGAGGTGAACCGGATGGCCACTGCACAAAGACTCCTCATCACTATGTCCTGCGAAGCCGGCGTTCACCGGACGTTCCCCGCCTTCGTTCTCCTGGGCTTTCTAGCTGGGATTGCTTCTACACATCCCGTTGTAAGCAGAACTAATGACACATTGCTGGAGAGAGGATGGCAATCTCTGTTGTCCAGGTCCATTGCTGGGATGTCAGGGGAGAAGTCAGATGTGAACTGGGAGAGTGACTATTTGCTAGGAATCAAGAGGCAGCGGAGGCTTTACTGCAACGTGGGCATCGGGTTTCACCTTCAAATCCTCCCAGATGGAAGGATAAGCGGAGTTCACAATGAAAACCAATACAGTGAGTTGCATCCAGAAATGAAATAGAATAGATGTCACTTAATTGCTGTGAACTCTAATAATTACCCTTCGCAGAATGCAAATGTTATTACTTGGTATTATTAATCTGTTGCCTTTTGAAAGTCTCTGGGATCAATAAACATCAGGACCCTTCGGGTTGAAACATGGCACAAATGCTTAGACAAATTTAGGTAGAATTTATTGTTACTTTGCTTTACTGCACGGTGAGAAAAAAAACGAAACAGGTTGAAAACTGAGTCTTCTGCTGCATTTTCTCACTCCTCACCTTCTCATTTGCCTTTTGAATCCGGGAGGTTGTTGCTTTGTTCCGAGTGCCAAAGCATGATTTTTGAATCCCAGCTGACTGTTTCTTTTGGGACACTCAGTGTTTCCCGTGGAAGGGGCTTGCTCTTCCTGGTTTGCTCGTTCTGTAACTGTAAGAATAAAGAAAAGCATTAGTCATATGGATTTGAATTTCCTGCACAGGGCACTTGCTAAAATCTTTTGCAGCTAAGATGTCATGTGGGACTTCAAAATAGTAAGCCACACTCCTCTAAAGCTAATAACAAACCCTCTGGAAGTATAGTATATTAGATAAAAATAATTTACCTATAAGAAAGCCCAAGAGTTTGACAGATCAAAAGAGTCAGATAGAGCAAAGGGATTACACAGTGTGTGACTATGATTTCAGGATAACTATTTTCAAATCCTATGGCATGTGGGAAAATGCAAGATCTTCTCTGTGTACCTCTAGACTAGGGAGATAACTCTAATAGAGAAAATATGGTGAGTTCCTTAGGGTTTTAAAATAAATAATGACATATGAATTGCCTTGGATTAGCTCTAGATTCTGTGATAACACTTCTGCTGAATGTCTTATTCTTCAGGTCTCTTTGAGATATCCACTGTAGAGAGAGGTGTTGTCAGCCTGCTTGGGGTGAAAAGTGCTCTCTTCATCGCAATGAACAGCAAGGGGAGGTTGTATGGAACGGTGAGTGCCAGTGCAAATACTTTTTCAAGGTTTAAACAAAGACTGCAAAGGTTTTAGAGTGGTTTTGTTTGGTTTGGTGTTTTGTTTGTTTTTGGTTTGGTTTGGGTTTTTTCTTCATGGAAATCTGTGATTACAAGCAGAGAAAACAGCCTTGCAGCTACAGGGAACGTGCCCAGCCTGATGTCATCAGTGTTATTTAGTGCTGTTGGAGGTCTGGGATTTTAAAGCTTCCCAATAGGATTGTACAGGGAGCACCCTGGGAAAATGAATGTATTCTGCAAATAGGACAGATTAATTAAGTGGCTTCTTCTAAGGTCTCAGTGCTGCAAACACATTCTAGTAAAAGTGAGCCCTGTTGATTCCCTTTTGCACTGCACTGTGTGTAGGAAAGGTGCAGTTAGAGCTATTAGTAAAATAATGACCACATGCTTCCCCCTACCAAAAACAACCCCAGCATGGAAAATAAATAGGAAGTCTACCCTACAAGGCCAACATATGTGGTTGGGGTTATTTTAATGATCAGTTTTGTGAGATCAGTTGCAAATGATGAGAAAATAATGGCTGTAAAGAATGGAATGAAAATCATACTGAAACACCGTCACCATCGTCCTCATCTGGATGATTTGTCATCTAAATGCAATTTAGTTTCTGAGGAACGAGCAAGACATCTCCAGGACATTCAGCAGTAAAAGTGCTTGTTAGGAAGTGCATTTGGAAGAGGCTGGCTCTGGGCAATAGGCAAAAGCAGCCCATTTCAAAGTAATGAACAGCACTGATCTCTTTTGTCAAGGAACAGCAGTCTCCTTTCCTTTGAAACAGCTGCAATTTCAACAAAATATTTCAGTTGCTTAATAAAATGGCAAATGTTGTGAAGGACCCATAGCCCTGTAGCCATTACTAACCTGACTGATTCCTTCTCACATAGAAAAGGGACATTTTGAGGTTCCACCCCAGGAATATTATTTCAGTCATGTCTGATCACCAGCACTTAAAGAGTGCCACAAACCCAACTGTTTTGCTTGACTGGGTCTTCCTGAAGAAAAGCAGGGTCTGGCTTCAGAGATCCCTTTGATTTCCCCCTATGGCCCCCAGTTTCAATCCAGTTTTGTTTATCTTCAAAGACACTTTTAAAAGCTGTAAGAGATGTGTGTTTTCCTCCACACAACAAGCTTTGAATGGTGTTATCACACAGGTGTCCAAATAGCACAGCACTGGTGGCATCTTGTGTGCCAGATATTTGAAGTCAGAGAATTATTCTGCCTCTTTTAATTTCTTCTGCATTTGTCTCCTTCTTGTCCTTGCATCCCCCTCTCCCAGATGACTCCCTATCCTTGGATTTACATGATGTAATGTGGAGAAAAACAAAACTGTTTTCCCAGCTTAGAACCCGCTGCATAGTTAAATATCACTAATGATTTATCAACGAAAAGATTCACTGCTAATCAAATCTCTTATCTGAGCAAGCAGTTCTCCCTGGACATTGGTGTTTGTAAGAGAACTGAAGTTTTGACATCTATCATGTAGTTTTTTTACAGGACTTCTGGCAGAGGGGAGGTATTGAATTAAGCTACGAAAAGGCGTGATGCTGACAGAAATCTTTCCTTGCAAATAAAATGAAGAAATCCATCATTTAGAATTAATTAATTTGATCTGCTGCAGGAAGTGCATGGTCCATTATGTGGACAGGTGGCATCTGAGTTCATCTGACACCAAATTAGCACCGAGGAGGGAGATTTATTGTTGGATGCAGTCGCTGAGGCACCACCTGTTGCTCGCTGCAATGAGCCCTTCTGTAAAAATGTGAGCAAGAAAAATGACCTGGGCTTTTGTGAAGTATTTATTGTACCTGCTTTGTTCTCCCACCCCCCTCCCCTTACTGTTCTTCAGGCTGTCTTCCAAGATGAGTGTAAATTCAAGGAAACCTTGCTGCCCAATAACTACAATGCATATGAATCAAATGCTTACCGTGGTGCTTACATAGCCCTCAGCAAACATGGGAGAGTGAAGAGAGGAAACAAGGTTTCTCCTGCGATGACAGTGACCCACTTCTTACCCAGAATATGAACATGAGAAGATTGAATCCCAGGAAAAACTGTTTCATTTTGCACATGGGGAATAAGCTCCCAGGTAAAGTAGTATTTATACTGGTCGTTGAAAAAAAAAAATCTATATATGTATGTGTATATTTGGATAAAAATATTTGTACTAGATTCATCACATAGGATATGTAATATGATGCTGCTTCTCTTCTACTCTGTACAAATTTTACATGGCTGTGTGCCTCCTTTGGTGCTGTACAGAGAAAAATAGCAAGCTGGAGTGGAAAGGATTTGGAAGAAAATTCTACAAAACTATACAAAGGAAGTATTTGGACTGGCTGTGGGCAACCATCTAATCAAACACAGGTTATTTACTAAATAATATTATTTACCTCAGATAATAACCTTTCCTAGTGAGCTGTTTACATATCATGGGCCAAATCACCAGATGATTTTGCTTCACCAGAGCTTCAGGCAGTTCACTCGATCTAAATATCTGCCTGCACCTCCCCTTCTACAGACTGTGTCCCATCTTGCAAAGTCCTCAAGCTGTTTTGATCACTAAGGTGCCAATTCCACAACTGTTTCTACACAAGCAAACTGTTTATCCCCAGAGACCCTCTGTCTCTGAAGGGATTCTCCAGGGTTTCCTCACACAGACTGGTTGGCAAAATGAAGACCTACAATCAATTTCCCACAGGGAGGGCCACGGGATAAATCACAGATGGGTCCCAAATGCAAAACTTATTTGGAGCTGAGGATTTTGAATGGCATTTTGTGAGCTTAGTTTAGACTTACCTCAAATATAGATGTGCACATCTTTAATATAAGTACTTGTATATATATAGACATGGGATGTGTGAGTGTGTATCTATGTAATTACATGCTTTTAATGAATTAATCATCCCAGTCTCTCAAAGCCCAGGTGCCTTTATATCCATACACACATAAAAGAACATAAATATTTAAAGGCACTGTGTTTCATTTAGGCTGAACTTTGTTAATCTCTAAGAACTAGAACTGGTCTGCAGGATGCATTTTATACAATGTAAGAAATCCATGGAAGCTTCCAGCAAAGGGTTATTTTAGAAAACTTCTCTGTTTTGAATTTTCTATTTACCGTCTTAAATATATTTGATTCTTCTCTATCATACCTCATGAGGTATGGAGGACAGAGAAAGAAGGAGGCTATATAAGCAAACCTTCCCAAGTTAGGACAGAGGAATTTGTGCCATAATTCCAATTTCTGTCACTTGCAAAGCATCAGTTTCAAAAAGAACACAGCAAGCTGTGTGAAATACTCTTCAAAGTTCTCCTAGAAACCGTACAAATGGGGCACAACCTCGCCTTGCTATTTTGACAACCTTTTTCCAGATCACCAACAGAGCTGCATTCTCTGTGCCTTTGAAAGGGTATTTTGAGAGGCCCTAAGTCAATAGTCACTATAAATGTCAGTTACCAGAAGCCTTGGGATTCCTGCATTGATGGCGTGCTCCTAAATTTGAAACTAGATTCAATGCAATGTCAGAGCACGAGCATTTTCAGCATAGATGGGCCGTGCTGCTGCAGAAGGGAATATCTGAGTGCAAGATTATCTCCCACGGCCAGCCAAAATGGGGCTATGTCCAGCCTTGACATGCCATTCTATTTGCAGGGGGTGTCTATTCGTGATGAATTTGAGCCTTCTGACATGCATGAAAAACACTGTCAGGGCCAGATCCTCACTTGGATTAAATTAGCCTACTAAGACTATCAGTTTATAGGTGCAGAAGATTTGGCCCAAAGAACACACCCACAAGGATGTACCTACAGACACCACTCCTGAAAAACTGTCAAGACAATTGTTTTGTGAACAAGATACAGTTTTCCAGCATCTTCTGTGTGATTGATACTTGAATTTATTTGGCTGAAATGTAAGTGCTGATTTTAAACTGATCACAGTTTACATGAAGAGAAAACAGAGGGGAATGCTGCTTACAGGACATGAATGAGATGCTTTGGATGATGCTTTGGAAGGAAAGGAGTTACTCTTCATTTTCTGGTCTTGCAGTATGTAGAGAGAAGCCAAGTTGACACACTGTTCATCCACAACATGCACAGCAGTTTGCTTTGGAAAAATGTGCATTTCAGGTGAAAAATCGGGATATTCTGAGAGGGGAGAGTGGGTCAGAGGAAAGTTTGGAGGGTATCAGACAGTAACATAGAGACCCCAGAGGTAAGAGATAGGAAGACTGCAGCTGCGATGAAATGCGTAAGCTGGCAACCTGTATCCTGGTGTTATATTCCTAATTGTCTTTGAAATGAAGTTTGAAGAAGGATGGAAGAGTACATGGACGTGGAAATGTGGTTCGAATTCTGACACACAAGTTTGTTTCTGATTACAGCTTAAATCAGTCTTCTTAGGATAGGTTGAAATCTGTTGCCTTTTAAACCAGCACAGCCTAGAGGAATTTATTGTTGCCAGTACTGGCAAGCAATGGGATAGCTGACACAAAAGGTGAGAATCAGACTCAGTGGCTCTGTTTTGCACACACTGGTCAAGGTGAGAACAAACCATAGACCAGGTCACAAGAAGTCAGGACGAGGAAATGGCCTCAAGTTGCACCAGGGGAGGTTCAGGTTGGACATCAGGAAGAATTTCTTTACTGAAAGGGAGGTCAGGCATTGGAAGGGGCTGCCCTGGGAGGTGGTGGAGTCACCATCCCTGGAGGTGTTCAAGAAACTGCTGGACAGAGCACTCAGTGCTCTGGTCTAGTTAACAAGGCAGGGATCGGTCAAAGGATGGACTCGATGATCTTGGAGGTCTTTTGCAGCCTAAATGATTCTGTGATGCTACAAATCTCTGCAGACATAGCTGGCTGGGCTGAGATTGTTCTTAGGAACTGCAGATCCTTTCAGATGCAGTTTTGGTGGGTATTTGGAAAGCCCCATCAGTCACTCTGCTGAGTTACTCTTTACAATACTGCATTTTTTCCTTATTGCACATCAGTGACAGCCAGATCAACACTGAAGTCAAGGCTGAAATCAAAAAAGGTCTCCCAATGCCAGGAATACTGACTAATATGATATGTCAGGAGGGATAGCTGTGGGAAGAAACCCCTCCAGCACAAACAGTGCAGAAGTGAAGCCCTGTGGAGTTTTAGACCAGTTGGATATATGCTTTGACAGAGGTGCTTCTTAAGTGAATGCAAGTCTGCTTTCCAGAGAGGAGCTGAGGAATGTTTTGACACACTGCAAGTAGTCCAGGGGCTGCTTATGGTAGCAGGGTTCAAGAAGTTATGCAGCTGAGCTCTGCCTGAGAAATGGCCTGATCCTGTTCTGCCTCATGCTTGATTAGCTAAATTCCTCCTTCTTAGGCCGTTATCATGGAGAAGGAGGATTTAGGAAGCCCACCATTCCTTTTGCACACCTTAGGATAAATTTTTTAAGCTGGCAAAACCCAAACCATTTGAAAGCCTAATGTACATGATACGGTGGCTGTGGAGTGTATATGAACATCATCTGACAAACTCTTACATAAAACCTTCTTCCAAAGAAAAGTTTCGTGGATGGGTGACTACATAAAGAAAACTCATGAAAGTGAAGGGATTTCCCAGACCAGGGCCAAATTAGGAACTGCAACGCACATCTCATCTCAGTGTGCATTAATGGGGGGTCATGACATCGGCTACAAGCTCTGAAAGCAAAGCTGTGAATGCCCCACACCAGCCTGCATGCCCATATTTTCCACATGGGATCCTCCTGTGGAGTTGATACCTGTTTTCAAGGTTTCTTCTTCCTTAGGCAAATCCAATAACAATTTCAGACTTAATCCACCCCCGTCAGAACTGTCATGTTCTTAAATAACGGTATTTTTCCCAAATGTGCAGAGGCACAGATAGACACACAGTGGAAAAGCAGAGTAATATTTGTATACCTCACTAACTATTTCAATTCCAAGATTTTATTTTGCACAGTAAAATGGTGCCAAAGTTCTCAGATTACTTTCTTTTCACTAAAATATACCTCATATTCTGAATCAATATGGACTCACAACTGAGACTGTAAATTTGCAAGAAACATGAAACTGTCCAATCAATTGTTTGAGAAATTGCTTCTATTTTTATATGTATGTGCTGCGCACAATAGTTTAATGTATTCCTAAAATAAAATTTTATACATTTTTGGAAGTGTTTTGACTCTAAGTCTCTCTTAATATTTGGTTTTTTTCCTTGATTACAGAGATTCTGTATTAACCATGTTCAGGGCAAAGGGCAGCATCAATGCCAGTGCTGGCACACAGAACCCCCCCGTGCCCTGGGCTGCACCCAAAGCAGTGTGGGCAGCAGGGGAGGGGGGGATTCTGCCCCTCTGCCCCACTCTGGGAAGACCCCCCTGCAGTGCTGCCTCCAGCTCTGGGGGCCCAGCACAGCAAGGACATGGAGCTGTTGGAGCAAGGGACACCAAGGTCATTAGAAGGATGGAGAAGCTCAGCTGTGAGGAAAGGCTGAGGGAGTTGGGATTGTTCAGCCTGGAGAAGAGAAGGCTTTGGAGTGACCTAATTGTGGCCTTCCAGGACCTGAAGGGAGCCAAAAAGGAAGATGGAGAGAGACTATTTCCAAGGGCCTATTTTGAGAGGCCCTGGCACAGGTTGCCCAGAGAAGCTGTGGCTGCCCCATCCCTGGAAGTGTCCAAGGCCAGGTTGGATGGGGCTCTGAGCAACCTGGGATAGTGGAAGGTGTCCCTGCCTGTGGCAGGGGGTTGGAACCGAATGATCTTTAAGGTCCCTTCCAACCCAAACTGTTCTATAATTCTATGATTCTATTCTGCTATCTGAGGGCCATTTATCGACTATGGTGCTAGAGACAGGTAAAAAGAGTCTGGCCTCCTAAGGCTGATTACTGCCATTTATAATCAGCTGTTATTCCTGTCATCATTGCCCTCTGGTGGTTATTTTGTTAATTTAGCAGCGAGATGTGAGAGATCAAGCATGGTTTCTGTACCATGGACCTGGGCACAAGTGAGAAAGGAGCATCCCGCCTCATGGCTGGTACTCTTTATAGGATTCAGGCCCCTCACTGTGTTGGTATCTGTTGCACCATTATATAGGGAAGTCAAAATTTTAACCATGAAGCCACCACACAATATTTGAGATTCAGGTTTCTCCTTGACAAGCAACTTTTCGTAACACTAGGCAGGTAAATGGTTCAGGAAAATGATTTGGTTTTCACTCCAAATTTTCCGACCCGAAGGTTTGCCAAGGATTTTGCAAACATAAAACCCAAGGCTCGGCCTTGATGGCAGTGTCACACAGAATGACTTGAAAGACATAGGCATGGGCCTGTTGGAGCAGATCCAGAGAAGGGACACCAAGATGATCAGAGGGCTGATGTGGGGAAAGGCTGAGAGAGTTGGGATTGTTCAGCCTGGAGAAGAGAAGGCTTTGGGGAGACCCGAGGGCGGCCTTTCAGTACGAGAAAGATGGGGACAAATTTTTTAGTAGGGCCTGTTGCAATAGGACAAAGAGTAACAGTTTTAAACTAAAAGAAGGTTGATTCAGACCAGGTATAAGGAACAAGTTTTTTACAGCGAGAGTGGTGAAACACTGGCACAGGTTTCACCTGTAGATGCCCGATCCCTGGAAACATTTCAGGTCAGGCTGGATGGAGCTCTGAGCAGCTCCTAGCTGCAAATGTCCCTGTTCATTGTAGGGGGATTGGACTAAATGGCCTTTAAAGATCCTTCCCAAGCCAAAATATTCCATGGAAATAGTGTTTAGCAGCACGGAGCACCTTGAATGGGAAAGAAGAAAGCACAAGTTTTTTCTAAATTATACTGAAGAGAGATATTTTAAAGCATGTTAAGAAATCCTGTTTTTCCTGTTACCTCACTGAGTGCATTAATACAAATCGTGCTGTGACCATTTGTGATCACAAATGATACAGTCTCCAGTTCATAGAATCACAGAGGGATTTGGAAGGGACCTAAAAGATCATCTTGTTCCAATCCCCTGCCATGGGCAGGGACACCTTCCACTAGACCAGGTTGCTCAGAGCCCCATCCAACCTGGCCTTGGACACTTCCAGGGATGGGGCAGCCACAGCTTCTCTGGGCAACCTGTGCCAGGGCCTCCCCACCCTCCCAGGGAAGAATTTCTTCCTAATATCCAATCTAACCCTGCTCTCTGTCAGTTTGAAGTCGTTCCCCCTTGTCCTGTCACTCCAGGCCCTTGGAAATAGTCTCTCCCCATCTACCTTGTGGGCTCCCTTCAGGTCCTGGAAGGCCACAATTAGGTCACCCCAAAGCCTTCTCTTCTCCAGGCTGAACAACCCCAG